TTCTGAAAGTAAAGTCTGAACAATTTAAAAAGTATACAGAATCAGATTTTGAGATTAAAATCTGCCCAGTTTTAAAAATAAGCAAAATCATCACTTTGAGTATCAAAATAAGCATAATCATCACTTTGAGTATAAAAAATAAGCATAATCATAACTTTGAGTATCAAAAATAAGCATAATCATCACTTTGAGTATCAAAATAAACATAATCATCACTTTGAGTAAAACGATTTTCTATTCTGTTTAAACATACATAGACCAATAAGAAGAGTCCAACAATCACCTCAAAGATTACACTTACACGATCATATTTAATCATTTCGCTTGTCGATTATCGCCATACTTTAAGGAAACAAATCACATCCATTTGAACGTGCACAGAACCAGCAAAACAGATTCAACTATCATCACAACCTCTCTATTTCACATCAAAAATAACCTTTCTCAAGCAACCAAGTTACAAGTGCCAAGTAGATTTTCTTAGCTTAAACCTAGAGTTTTCACTTACCTTGCACAGAATCTGAACACCCCAAAGCTTAAAACTCTTCCACAGATTTTTGGATCGGTGATGGTGAGAGTAGAAAGTGAAGGAGAGAGTGTGGGTTTGGGTGAAATGATCTTCAGTAATTACCCAGGCGAAGATGAAAACTGAGAAGTATACGAAGGGGTGGGTAAATTCATTGTATTTACATGTGGCACCTTATCTCTTCATCATGGCCAGGTGGAAGAAATCAGTGGCTTAATCATAGGAGTCTTGGCCAAGGAAAATGATTATCCAAGGCTTAGGTGTCTAGCTCAAGGGGACAAATGGCATTCGGTCAACTTTTCTTCAATAGCCACGTGAGAGAAAGAAGAGTCTAGAGGAGATTTTGAGAAGATTTCTTCCCCCTTTTTTCCTTACGGCAATAACATTACTTAACCAAGATTAATCAATAATAATAATAATAATACCCACTAGTTACCAAGACAACGGTAATTTAATTAACACCGCACTACGATTAACGCACACGGCAACGCCTAAATATTAAACATGTCGGACTCGGTACGATTACGTTTCCGAATCCGCGCTTCGCGAAATACGATCCAACGAAAATTTCTACGCGTCCACACGAATACTAACTCGAAAATAATACTTAGCTTTAAATCTAAGTATCATTTTCAAATATAGAAAATTTCTAACGTCACAAACATGCTATTACGAAATCTCCGGATGTCACAACTCTTCTCCCCTTAAGAAATTTCGTCCTCGAAATTCAGAATTACTTGATCATTCAAAAAGATGTGGATATTTGCTTCGCATATCCTCTTTGCTCTCCCATGTTGCTTCTTCCATGTCATGATATTGCCACAAGACCTTGACCAACGGGATGGTCTTATTTCTCAGAACTTGTTCTCTTCTATCCAAGATCCGTACTGGTTTCTCCACATAGGTTATTCTTTCGTCTACCTCGATCGTCTCAAAATCCAATACATGAGTAGGGTCCGATTCATATTTCCTCAACATAGACACATGGAAAACATCGTGAATATTGGAAAGTCTGGGTGGCAATGCCAATCTATAGGCCAAGTCACCAATCTTCTCAAGAATTTCAAAAGGCCCTATAAACCTTGGACTCAGCTTGCGTTTCTTTCCAAATCATGATACACCTTTCATCGGTGACACCTTTAAGAATACATGGTCACCAACATTGAATTCCAATGGTCTCCTACGTTTATCCGCATAACTCTTTTGTCGACTTTGAGCAGTTTTAAGTCGATCCCGAATCACTTTTACAGCGTCTGAAGTGATTCGTACTAATTCCGGTCCCGTTAATTTCCTTTCGCCAACTTCACTCCAATAGATAGGAGTTCTACAGGCTCTCCCATACAATGCTTCGAAAGGAGCCATGCCGATACTTTGCTGAAAACTATTATTGTAAGCGAACTCCACCAAATGCAAATGTTCATTCCAATGCCTTTAAAGTCAATTATACAAGCTCGCAGAATATCTTCCAATGTCTGGATAGTTCGTTCTGATTGACCATCAGTTTGTGGATGAAAAGCAGTACTATATTGGAGTTTAGTTCCCAATGCAGTTTGGAGACTTCGCCAAAAGTTCGCAGTGAACCTTGGGTCTCGATCTGACGTGATAGTTACAAGTACTCCATGCAGTCGAACTATTTGTTGGACATACAGCTCCGCATATTTTTCCAATGTATAGTCTACTCCACCGCAAGGAAATGAGCAGATTTCGTTAGACGATCCACTATCACCCAGATGGAATTGTGGCCTGTCGATGTCCTTGGCAATCCTTGAACAAAGTCCATCGTCACATGCTCTCATTTCCACTCAGGTATTTCTAACGGTTTCAACATTCCACCCGGCTTACGATGTTCTGCTTTCACTTGTTGGCATGTCAAACATCTTGAGACATGTTTGGCAATATCCATCTTCATTCCATTCCACCAAAAATGTTGACGGAGGTTTTGATACATTTTCGTGCTTCCTGGATGCACACTGTAATTACTTCGATGTGCTTCTGACAAAATTTCATTCCTTAAATCAATGTCATTAGGCACACAAAGTCGTCCATGAAATTTTAGAACTCCATCTTCTGATACCTGAAAGTCTAGCCTTTTTCCTTCTAAAGTCTCCTCCCTGATTTTTGAAATCTCAAGATCTGTTTGTTGTAGGATCTTGATTCTTTGCATAATCTCAGGTTCAATTCTAAGAGTAGCTATCACATTTGAAAGACTACTCATATCAAATCTAAATTCAGAATCTTGAGCCGCTTCAAGCAAGGTCCATTCCTTAATCATCATCTGGGCAACCATTTGGGTAGACTTTCGGCTAAGAGCATCCGCGACTTTATTCGCCTTTCCTGGATGATATAAGATTTCGCAATCATAATCCTTTAACAACTCTATCCAACGTCTTTGTCTCATATTCAATTCTTTTTGGGAGAATAGGTATTTCAGACTCTTGTGATCTGTATAAATTTCGAACTTCTTCCCATATAAATAATGTCTCCATATCTTCAGAGCGAATACAATTGCGGCAAGTTCTAAATCATGGGTCGGATAATTTAGCTCATATGATTTCAACTGTCTTGACGCATAGGCAACTACTCTTCCATGTTGCATCAAAACACAACCAAGCCCCTTGTAAGATGCGTCACTATAAATTACGAAACCTCCGGATCCTGCTGGTATTGTCAATATTGGAGCCGTAGTCAATCTTCTTTTGAGTTCTTGAAAACTTTGCTCACATTCTTCTGACCATTCAAACTTCACTTCCTTCCTTGTCAATTTAGTCAATGGAGCTGCAAAGCGAGAAAATCCTTCGACAAATCTTCGATAATATCCGGCTAGACCCAAGAAACTTCGAATCTCTGTTATTGTTGTCGGTCTTGGCCAATTTATTACCGACTCAACCTTCGATAGGTCCACCGATATTCCTTCACCGGTTACTACATGACCCAGAAATACCACTCGATTCAACCAGAATTCACACTTGCTAAAATTTCGCATATAACTTATGTTTGCGAAGTGTTTGAAGCACAAGTCTCAGATGTTGTTCATGCTCCTCTCGTTCTTTTGAGTATATAAGGATATCATCGATGAACACTATTACGAATTGATCCAAAAACGGCTTAAATACTCTATTCATTAAATCCATGAATGCGGCTAGTGCATTAGTTAAACCAAAAGGCATAACTAAGAACTCGTAATGTCCATATCGAGTTCGAAATGCCGTCTTAGGAATATCTTCCTCCTTAATCCGCAATTGATGATACCCTGACCTTAAATCGATCTTGGAGAATACTGACGCCCCTTGCAGCTGATCAAATAAGTCATCGATCCTCGGAAGCGGATACTTATTCTTGATCGTGACTTGGTTTAATTGTCGATAATCAATGCAAAGGCGCATTGACCCATCTTTCTTCTTTACAAACAATACTAGTGCACCCCAAGGTGATGCACTAGGTCGAATAAAACCTTTGTCAAGTAATTCTTGTAGCTGCACTTTTAATTCCTTTAGCTCCGCTAATGCCATCCGATAAGGAGCTTTGGAAATAGGATCTGTTCCCGAAGCTAATTCGATGACAAATTCGATGTCACGCTCTGGTGGTAGCCCTAGTAATTCTTCCGGGAATATGTCAGGAAATTCTCGAACTACGGGGATTTCTTCAAGTTTCATTTCTTCCCTTGACTGATCCCCTACAAACGCCAAATATCCTTGACAACCATTATCAAGAAGACGATGTGCCTTGAGCGCAGAGATAAGCGGCATTGAAGGATTTGCTCCATTTCCAAAGAATTCGAAACTAGGACAATTAGGGGGATTAAATTGAATTATCTTCCGATAGCAATCCACGTTGGCTCGTTGCTTACGAAGCCAATCCATCCCCAGAATATTATCGAAGTCGTACATAGTCAATATGATCAAATCTACTATTTGATCATGTCCACTTATAGTGATCTTACAGTCTTTACATATCAATGTGGACATAATTGTATCTCTTAGCTGTGTAGAAACACAAAGGGATATTTCGAGTGGTCTAGGACTTAATCCAATCAATTTCACGAATCGTGTAGATATGAATGAATGTGTGGCACCCGTGTCAAATAATGTATAAGCATTCTTGTTGCACATAGAGATGATACCTGATATAACTGTCTTGGAGGCTTCAGCTTCCTCCTGTGTGACTGCGTAAACTCGACCTTGAGCTGGTGGCCTCGGGGAATTTCCCTGTTGCGAGATCTTGTTTTGAGATGACTGCTGTAGTTGTTGTGGAGGCGTGATACGTTGTTGCTTCATTACTGGACAATCTCTTAATATGTGACCTCGCTGTCCACACCAATAACACTCCCTTAAAGCTGGGCATGGCGTACCTTCATGTCGCTTGCCACAAGTGCGACATATATTATTAGGAGATTGCATATGCATCGCCGGTCGATTGTTCCGTGTGAATCCAAAACTTCCAACATTGTTCCTTTTATTTTGAACAGTTTTTCAGTTTACATGGGCCTCTTGTCACGATGAACATTAGGTTGGAAAGTTTGGCGATTGGGTCGTGCTTGGAAAGTCAATGTTGTCTTCGCTAACTCCGCCAAATCCTTTTCAACAAGTTGTGCGCATTCGTACAACTCATTATAATCCTTCAAATTCAAGGGCACTAGCTTACTTATGACATCTGGTCTCAAGCCGTCTCGAAATCTCTTAGCTTTGTCTTCCTTGTCTTCAACCAACCTGGGGGCGAACCTTGAAAGTTCTGCAAACTTAGCTTCATACTGGTCCACAGTCAGGTCATTTTGTTTCAGTTGCATAAACTCCATCACCTTTTTATCCTGGGCACAATCCGAGAAATATTTCCCGAAAAATGCCTTGACAAAAACGCCCCAAGTTTCATTAATGCCGGTTGGAAACACGGTCCCCTTGGATGCCTTCCACCAGTGTCTAGCATTTCCTTGGAGTTGGTATTCTGCTAGGGCTATTTTGTCAACGTCATTACAGTCCAGTAGATCGAATATCTTCTCCATCCCGTCAATCCATGCTTCCTCCTCTTCAGGATTTCCAGTTCCAGCAAACCGTGGTGGTTTCAGTTTCAAAAATTGTTCGACCAGACCTTGTAAACGACGTTCGCCATTACCAGAGCCAGAGGCAGCTCGTTGTAGTTCCTGCTTCTCCATTAAACTTCCGACATTGGCAAGCACTTGGAGGATTCCTTCCAACATAGGGTCCTTTTCTACATTGCTATCCGAACTCATCCTGCAATACCTACATATATTGCTTACTAATAAGCAACAAAAGTTACTTGTAGCACAAAATCAATCAAGGGCAAACACATGCACTTGATTTTCTACACTCGCGCAATCTAAGTCAAGTCTACTACTCCAAATTCTAAGCGCACCTTATCACTCCATGGGTAAAACCTGCTCTGATACCAAATAGGCTGTGACGCCCAGAACGTCACGCGCGACACTTACCAATTAATATTATTAATAAATTAGCCAGCGGAAAATAAAGACTAAACATGAATATCACAGAAATTTAGTCAAAATACTTTTTCTTCTCATTAATAAACCCTTGTCATATTTACAACCCAGACAAAGCATCACACAAGTACAAAAAAACAAAAACTGGGTAGGTCAGGGTTGCCTATCTCCAACTAGATCCTTCATCCAAAAGTTTGCCTAAAGTCCGAAGCTGTCACGGGTCGATCACTTCACCCTCCGCTGCGGAACCACCATCGTCTAGGTCGAAGCCCCTCAACGGGCCAATCAACTCGCCCTCCAAGTTGAAATACCAACAAACAAAAAGATAAGGAACCCATTCCGGAAGCCCCACATCAACCCATATCGTAGAACTACACTTAGTATATACGGCGTCAAACTCCGGCGCAAACACATCCTCATAAACAGCATCAAAATGAATAGGAACTCCAAAATGTAGGGGCTGTGGAACATCAATCCTACAAGTCTGAAAAATAATGGAATGAGCCGAAGCCCAGTAAATGAAATCTCTAGTTTTAAGTTAGGAATATCAGCTTACCACTTCCCCTGGCATAAACACATATGCATGCATAGCAAACGATGTGCATAGAACTTGAATGCAAGTTATACCTTTTCCGTCTGGATGTGCCGCAAAATCTGAATAATGCAACATACCATGATATTTTCACTCAGACGCAAGCATGATGTAAAACATTTGTGCTCATGCGATTAGGTTCATTACTTCATCCTCCCGAACACTCCCGGGGCATCCCGACCAACGAGGCATCCCAACTCCGAGGTATCCCGGCACACACCCGGGGCATCCCGACCAACGAGGCATCTCGACTCCCGAGGCATCCCGAAACACTCCCCGGGGCATCCCAACCTACGGGGCATCCTGACACACGGGGCATCGTCACACACCACTAAATGGGCGACGGAATTAATATTATTCCCATGCAAGTCATGACAACCAAGTATCTGCATGCAAAAGTCCGATTTGGCCCGTCCCATACCGAGCCATCACGGTTTTTGTGCTTTAAAGCCATGAAATGCATCATCCGAGCAATTTAAAAAAAGAAACAATACATTTCGAACTCATAAGCAAACTCAGCTCATAAGCAAATTAGGGTTCGAAGCAAATTCGAGTCATCGAAGCAAGTTTAGACTCGGAGGTGGGTTCGGACTCGAGCGAATTCGGACTCGGAGCAAATTTAGACTCGGGCCGGGTTCGGACTCAAGCGAATTCGGACTCGAACCGGGTTCGGACTCGAAGCAAATTCGAGTCATCGAAGCAAGTTCGGACTCGGGAGGTGGGTTTAGACTCAGAAGCGAATTCAGACTCAGAACCGGGTTCAGACTCAGAAGCGAATTCAGACTCAGAACCGGGTTCAGACTCAGAAGCAAATTTGAGTCATCAGAAGCAAGTTCAGATTCAGAGGTGGATTCAAACTTAGAAGCGAATTCAGATTCAGAAGCAAATTCAGACTCAGAACTGAGTTCAGACTCAGAAGCGAATTCAGACTCAGAACCGGGTTCAGACTCAGAAGCAAATTCGAGTCATCAGAAGCAAGTTTAGACTCAGAGGTGGGTTAAGACTCAGACGCGAATTTAGACTCAGAAGTAAATTCAGACTCAGAACCGGGTTCAAACTTAGAAGCGAATTCAGACTCAGAACCGAGTTCAGACTCAGAAGCAAATTCGAGTCATCAGAAGCAAGTTCAGACTCAAAGGTGGGTTCAGACTCAGAAGCAAATTTAGACTCAGAAGCAAATTCAAACTCAGAACCAGGTTCAGACTGAGAAGCGAATTCAGACTCAGAACCGGGTTCAGACTCAGAAGCAAATTCGAGTCATCAGAAGCAAGTTCAGACTCAGAGGTGGGTTCAGACTCAGAAGCGAATTCAGACTCAGAAGCAAATTCAGATTCAGAACCGGGTTCAGACTCAGAAGCGAATTCAGACTCAGAAGGCTAAAGTCTGAAGGTAAAGTTTGAATGGTAAAGTCTGAACAGTAAAGTCTGAGCGGTAAATTCTGAAGTAAAGTCTGAGTGGTAAGGTATGAAGGTAAAGTCTAAACGTAAGGTCTGAAGGTAAAGTCTGAACGTAAGTTCTGAAAGTAAAGTCTGAACAATTTAAAAAGTATACAGAATCAGATTTTGAGATTAAAATCTGCCCAGTTTTAAAAATAAGCAAAATCATCACTTTGAGTATCAAAATAAGCATAATCATCACTTTGAGTATAAAAAATAAGCATAATCATAACTTTGAGTATCAAAAATAAGCATAATCATCACTTTGAGTATCAAAATAAACATAATCATCACTTTGAGTAAAACGATTTTCTATTCTGTTTAAACATACATAGACCAATAAGAAGAGTCCAACAATCACCTCAAAGATTACACTTACACGATCAAATTTAATCATTTCGCTTGTTGATTATCGCCATACTTTAAGGAAACAAATCACATCCATTTGAACGTGCACAGAGCCAGCAAAACAGATTCAACCATCATCACAACCTCACTATTTCACATCAAAAATAACCTTTCTCAAGCAACCAAGTTACAAGTGCCAAGTAGATTTTCTTAGCTTAAACCTAGAGTTTTCACTTACCTTGCACAGAATCTGAATACCCCAAAGCTTAAAACTCTTCCACAGATTTTTGGATCGGTGATGGTGAGAGTAGAAAGTGAAGGAGAGAGTGTGGGTTTGGGTGAAATGATCTTCGGTAATTACCCAGGCGAAGATGAAAACTGAGAAGTATACGAAGGGGTGGGTAAATTCATTGTATTCACATGTGGCACCTTATCTCTTCATCATGGCCAGGTGGAAGAAATCAGTGGGTAGGAGTCTTGGCCAAGGAAAATGATTACCCAAGGCTTAGGTGTCTAGCTCAAGGGGACAAATGGCATTCGGTCAACTTTTCTTCAATAGCCACGTGAGAGAAAGAAGAGTCAAGAAGATATTTTGAGAAGATTTCTTCCCCCTTTTCTTTACAGCAATAACATTACTTAACCAAGATTAATCAATAATAATAATAATAATAATAATAATAATAATAATACCCACTAGTTACCAAGACAACGGTAATTAAATTAACACCGCACTACGATTAACGCACACGACAACGTCTAAATATTAAACACGTCGGACTCGGTACGATTACGTTTCCGAATCCGCGCTTCGCGAAATACGATCCAACGAAAATTTCTACGCGTCCGCACGAATACTAACTCGAAAATAATACTTAGCTTTAAATCTAAGTATCATTTTCAAATATAGAAAATTTCTAATGTCACAAACATACTATTACGAATTCTCCGGATGTCACAAAACCACTACGAATCGATCAAGGAAATGATGAAGTACCTTGTTCATTAGCGTGCAGAAAGTAGCTAGGGCATTTGTCAGGCCGAATGGTATGACGAGGAACTCGTATGAGCCATATCGAGTCAAGCATGTAGTGTCATGCCCCGAATCCCATCGAGCTCGCGACATCCCTCACTGGTCGAATGATTGCGACGTCCCAGGAACATCGCCGACCCAACCCAAACATCAGAGACACAAGCGAAAACGAATAAACAAACACCCGTACTATTAAGACGACGATAGAGTAGATCATCAAGACAGTCGAAGAACAACAACAATCATTTTTATACAATGCCACTGAACCGAGCATACAAACATCGTGTTACAGACATACCTAGCAAACAAGCATCCGAAACCACCGACATAACAAAAAGAATCGGGTGGTTTGATTAACTTAGCTTCACTATAAGTCGACCTATTTATCAAAAGGTGACTGGTCAGATCTATTTTACGCAACCCCTAAAATACCCTAGGGAAACCTAACGGTCGCCCTCCTCCCATTCTGCTCCTGAGTCTTCTGGCTCGAGCCCCCGGAAGATCACTTGAACCACGATACGGGGGAATCGCCTGAGATGGTTGCAAGGCCTGCGGCTCCAATGGGGCACCATGGACGGCTCCTCAAACTCCAAAAAGAGGAGGCGGGACTCCTGGTTTAAGGCTGGGGGTCTGAAATTGTGGTTATACAACTATGAGACGAATCTCAATAAGTGCACAACCCCAAACCCCACATAGGCTCTCACGTACCGCCAGACGAAACACGCATAACACACAACGATCAACCATACTAACAAACACATACGATCCTACCTGGGATCCATCATGCACATCCCTACACGTCAGATAATAATACAGCCAACATGCCACAATGATGCCTCACCCATATCACAAAACCAAAGCATGTAATAAGAATTCACATGCATCAATGCATCACAGTCGCGCGTGCCTCGATTATAAGGCAAAACCCACTTGGGCACGTCCCATACTATGCCTAGTAGTTTTACCCCATAATCGAGCACTACATCACACGATACAAACCACACTCGCATACTAACTCACACCATGCGTCAACTTTCACAATTCTCACACGTCAAGCCAAGTCCAACTCATTCCCAACTTTTCCACCACCACCGCGCCCGCGTAAAACGCATCAGGCCAACGATCTTCTGACCTCGTCAGGCATCGTCACCCCGTCGGGCCGGGCATCGTCACCTCGTCAGGGACGACATCGTCCCGCGTAAACGAACACGCCTCAGGACGGAACTTACCTCGCGTAAACGAACGTGCCTCAGGGTATCACTTTTTCCAACCAATCCAACCTTCCCGTACCTTCGTACCACACGTACCACACGGCCACACATACGCACGACCACACACAATCTCACACCTCACATACACTTCGCAA